GGAGGAACCTCAAACACAGGAATCCCTGGGCTTTTATACCTCACAGTCTGTGCACTAGAAAGTCTCAGTCCTCCTCCTTGGCTCCTGCTGTCTCTGAGTGTCCAGTCACCTGGCCGGTGCCACAAGACCCCATGCCCTTTGTTAGGCAAAATTTCAGTACCAGTTCATGGCCTCTTGTCTTGGCTGCCACCACCCAGAGCTCAATCTGCACCTCACTCTGAGTGAGAGTGAGTATATTTCTGAGTATCTCTTTGATACCTGCACTCTGCAGCTCTAAGAGTCAATGCAGACAAGCAGCTGAGGGAATGGGCAGGAAGCTGTACCTACACACTTTAGTGCTGTGCTGCAAGCCACTTAGTTTCCAAAAGCAAAGCTGAGAATGCTTCTCTTGCATTAGATGGATAAGCCTCACACCTGGCAAATAAAGTCTGACTGGTTGCTGGACAACTGGAACAATACAGAAGACTATGCCTTCTTTCATAGCCCGTTCAGCTTCTGAGCCTTCTAATTTGAATACACACCACCCTCCCCCCAAACCACACAGCACTCAATGAGGGTGGAAGAGACCCAAAAGAACTAGCGCTGAGAAACTTAGGATGAACGGTGGGAATGTAGGAAATCTGTCAAGATGTGGAAAGAACCCAACTTTGCTCTGCAATGGAGGTGCAGCAATACTGCTACAAAACTCAAGAGGTTCTGAAAAGTTGCCTTGCTATTCAAGTAACTTGGCCCACATTTTTCAGAGCTGGAAGGATCTGTGGGATGAATCTTAACATCCCTTAAACCAGGAAGGTGTTCTGGTTGTCATCAGTCCATTGTAGAACATACCAGCCACTTATTAGTGTTACTGAATGGCTCCAAGGCCAACACCTATCACATGTCATCCGGACAGGAATTTTGACCTGCCTACTGAAGTCTCTGCATCTCAAAAGCTCTGCACAGAGGGCATTAGACTGTAGCAATCAGCATAGCACTGCATGGGAGCCCTCAGCCCAGTGCCACGATCTCAAATGAAAAAAAGGCGGGAGGAAAAGCATATCATTGTACCATGCTGCTGCAGGGGAAACATCTCAGATTTCATCTCTTGGCACAGGGACGAAAAGATACAAACCTACACAGACAGAGAAGTATTTCAGCTGTGGCCTTTGGTGTCAAGACTAGTTGCTACTGAACCCAAGGACTACTGCAGTGCCAGAAGCATATGGGCAGAGGTAAACTACACCAGGTTGCTGACACGTGTAGCAACTTCAATAAATAAGCCACTGAGGAATGACACTAGCAGAGCTGAAATCATGGTGACCCCATTCTAGTTCGGAGGCAGAAAGTGTGATCTTGCTGAACTTTGCTTTCACCCTGTTGGATAAAGCAGCTCCTGATGAGACACTCCTCAGTGCCAGAAGGGATGCATCACTTGCTGGCTGAGATATCATGGAAACTGGAAGGAACTGCAGCGTCTCAGGTCAAACATTACAACACACAGGAGATCCAGAAAAGACAAAGCAGTATACTTGGCTGGAGGCTGTTTGGCTGGCCTACTTTGAAGGATGGTATCCAGAATTTTTCAAAGCCCAGGTTTTTGTTCTCATCTGAGTTTCCGTACGTGAGAGAGACTACATTACTTGGCTGTGTAACAATGATGTGCTCTTGCAAAACCATGGAGATACCTCTGGCTTTACACACTCTAAGGTTAAAATAAGAAAGTAGGCTGCAGCTGAGGAACATTTAGCAATGCAAATCAAGTATAGGAAACTTTGAGGAAATGTAGGTAGCAGGGAGCTTAGGCGAAGAAAAAGAGGCTGATGCATAGACTAGAGAATTTACTTTCCTTCACATTAGTGCTGGTTGTCTGGAGTCTGCAGGCAAGAAAAGAGAACTGGACAAGCACACTGTTGCAGTGCACTGCCTAATATTAAGACCTGACCACAAAGCAGGTGGCACAAAGCAGTCTAACAGTCAAATAAGTCTGTTGGAACTAAAATCCAGGGAAAGAAGCCAACATTTCAGGTGTTTGTTCCCAAGATACATAGAAGCTATGCAATGACAGAATGTTGGAGTGGCACAAATAAGGAAGGGACCCTCTTTCAGCTACTTGCTGATATGGGTGAGCGGCTGCAGAACAGCAGATGGGATCGGCATTTTCTACTGAGACTCTGCTGCCTGTTGAGGAGGAAAGACAGTAGACTTATAAAATCTTAAATCTCAGAGTGCTGATGCTAGGTCTGTCTCCAATTTTACTAGAAAGTAGAAAAAAAGGCAGGTTTTTCCTGCGTGTCAGTGAAGGTTAAAAAAAAAAAAAAAAAAAAAAAGCAAAGTAAATAAGTAAATAATGGACCAAATAGGACTAGAGTTAGAAGAGAGATGTATCTTTCAGGTCTCTGGGATTTGCTAGACAGTTCTCTGTGGCACATTTAGTGTTCTATCTATGGTCAAAGCAACACATCATCACTATCCGAGGTCCTTGGCTTCAACTACACCACAATCAACACATTGAATAATGCTTTACATGGAAGTTCCATGAGGTTTAAAAGAAGGCAGTAGCAGGGATGGAAAACCTGTTTTTATGTACTTCTGCAATCAAGAGACACATAATTGTCACCTTTGGCTATATTGCAAAGAAACCACTATAAAATACAGCCTAGCGTCAAAGATGATTTTCAGTCTTTGAACACTCAACTTGCTTTAAAACAAAGAAAACCTTTGTACACTACAATACGTGCACAAATACTTCCTTACTCTGAAATAGACTTAATTTCTGTCTGTGCCATCTGCCTGTGCTGTGGCTGACCTGCTAGAGCTGTTACAGACTGTGATACCTATTAAAAAACCAAATGAAAACACAAATTTCACCATTTCTCTGGGTTGACTCATACCTCTGAAAAAAGCCTGTTTATTTCAGATAAAGACTGATTTTTCTATTTATAATCCCATCTCAGCCTGAAGCAGTTCCTCTCAAACACTAATTTCCACTTGAAATGTAACCCACCAAGTTAACCTTCAGATTGTTCCATTCAAGACTTAAGTTCGCAAATTTACGGTTTTAACTACATCTTTGTTTCACTCAAGTCTGCTATCACCATATTCATCTTTCCCAGTATTCCTTTTTAAAAGCTTGGGAGACAGTTTTCTAACACAACAAACAAGGCATACAGGCTAATTTCCAGTTTCATCAAGCATGTCATTTTCACATTTTGCCTTTTCTTAGAGTTTCTATGTAACACTTATTCTTCACCTTACCGCTAAGAAATCTTACCTCCAAAAGCCTTTGATCCTGCTCAAAAATAAGGAATACTTCACCTCAAACTTCTCTTGTGTTCTTATAGAAAATCGTAATATAAATTAGGAGTCTCCAAAGCCAAAACTATTCGTGAGGTGAAGTGGGTGGAACCCAACCTATAGAAGTTTAGCTAACTTGTTGCAAAAAAAAACCCCAAACTTTAGCAGAATTTTACTCTGTTTTTCCACTCAGAGTAGCAAAAAACATCTTACAGTAGATGCAACAATGGCATTTAAGAAGAAAACTCATCTCTTTATAAATATGGTTGTTACCATGACAGAAGAGATGGTGCTTTTCATCTGGAAGATAACAGCATTCATAGTGAATACCCATTCTGCCCTCTTTCTACTGAATAAATCTGATGTCTTTAAAAAATAAAAAGGATTGATAGATGCCCAGTTGCTGCAATAACAATATCATCTCAGGAAAAGAAATAAAGAGGTGATGTGATAATTGCAGGAAGCAGTAGTCCAATCAAGGAATACTTGTTAAAACACAATTTGAAGTACAAAGCCAAAGGTAACAACTCCACAGCCTAAGCCATGAAGCATACTCTGAGTCAACTCCTGCTACAAAGATAAGTTACCATGGGCGTCATAGAGGTCAGAAAAAAAAACAACCCTCATGTCTAGAACAATATGCTTAGAATGCTACTTGATACAGCTGAGAAAAACAGACAGGAAGGCAAAAAGATTAGGAACTACAAAGATGAAATTAGCTATCTATAAACACAGTAACAATTTGCAACTTAGAAATACATCTGAATTAATGTAGATCAGCATACCATAAGAACGCAGAGAAATAGGTCTAAATGTCTGTACAGTAAGTTACCTGATACACATTCCACACTCTCACTCAGCAGTAGTAGGGAAAAAATGGGGAAGGAAAGTAAGCAAGCAATAACTGAAGTGTTAATACTTTAACTACTTAACTCCATCCATGAATATGAAGTATTCATACTCTAAGTGTTGTGCTATGGTAAAGTTTCTAGGAAGACAATTCAGCAATTACAAGGAAAAAGGAGGGTCAAAATAATTGGCAAGATGAGTCAAGTGGAGTTTCAACTGGCAAAATATTCTTTCTGTACAGCTTTGTACCACGAACTCCATTTCAAGAATTTTGTTGGGTGTTACAAGGAAGCTGGAGAGGGAATCTTCATTAGTGAAAGGAGTAGCAGTAAGTAATAAGTTCAAAGTGAAAGAGGAGAAATTAAGGTTAGAAATGCTTCCCTGTGGGGATAGAGAGGCACTGGAACATGTTACCCAGGGAAGTTGTGGGTGCCCCATGCCTGGCAATGTTTAAGGCCAGATTGGATGGGGCATTGAGCAACCTGATCTAGTGGAAGGTGACCCTGTCTATGGAGGAAGGGTGGAACTAGAATGGTCTTTAAGATCCCTTCCAACACAAACCATTCTATGTTCATTATGTTGACAGATGAAGAGTAGTCCCATAAAACTTAGTATAATTACATTTTAATGAAATATTGAAATTCTTCCTAAAGTGTTACAAAGATATAATACATCTGTAATGTAAGTGTAAAGGTTCAACATTAAAATTAAAAGACTCAGTAAAAAACATATATTAGAAGTTACTGCAGCAAAACAAAGTCATTGCAATTACACTCGTAGGTTTTTTTGTTGTGTTGGTTTTTTTTTTTAAGAAAACCAGCAATATTGACTGGCACATACAGACAAGATAAAATACAGTGAGAGTTTTCTTCCTCCATACAGTATTCAATCAAACAGCACTGCAACAAACATTGATTTCATGCATAAGTAAGTGCAGAGAGAATTTTAAACTCTACATATAGTACTGATTTCAGCTTTTGTACAGCCCCATTTGCAACACATTCCTGCCAAACCCAGAGATTCCCGTTTTCTTCTTGGAAACCTGGCCCAAAGATAACTGGTTGATTCCACAGGATTTGCATTTCCTGTTCCTCCCCTGTCCTTCCGAACAACTTCCTCTACCTGGTGAACAAGTTCCTTGAAGTTGTCTGCCACAGGTACATACTCATTAAAGTAATTTAAACTATACAAGTCCTTAAATGTCTCCCATCCAAGAACTGGGCTGCTTCTCTGCAGCTGTTCCACTTCAGGATCCAAAACTGATTGCAGGTTGAAGTTTCCCAGTAGTTTGTTACTTGCTGTTTGTGCAGAACCTGCTTAAAGAGAAGATGTTTTTGAGTTCAGACTGTAGGAGCATTAAAAGAGCACACAGTCCTAAGAAATAGCAATAAAACCTATTCAGTTAGTATCAATTGAAGCACTATTATCTGGCACTTCAGAGTCTCCATTGCATGACTTACATGTGGCTTACTTTTAGTGGAATCTATGTTTTAAAGTCCATACTGCCTGTTAGACACAGAGAGTACACAGCTACAACTATGACTGAAGTAGAGGCATCCTATCACAACTGCAGTGTTACTGACGGAGAAATCTTAATTTTTTCCACAGAAACAAATTTTTGTTGTACAGACATGTATCCAGAAATACCACAGAGCTATGTCGCATGGCATGTGAATTACAGTAGACCACTCCTCCCCTGTGCACAAACACACAAACTAGCATTGTGTGAACACCAAATGCAGGAAGGACTAAATAAGCAAAAATTATGTGTAAACTGCTTCTTACAGATTATATTTTTCTATAGCTATTTTTAGCTGATGCTTTTCCCTCATTTCAAGGCATATTAGAGGCTTACAGAATTCACTTATGACACGCTTCATCTCACAGTGTTCTCAAAAGTGTTCTCAAAAATCTAGTTCTACTTCCTTTCACCTCATACTGTTTTTCTTTATTTTATTTCTCCAAGAAAAGTTGCATTGCTTACTACAGCTAGTGTGAAGGAAAGTGGTTTATTCGATTCTTAATTTAAAAATAACCCAGAGTAAGATTTTGTGGTCTTGATACTGTTAAAATGGGGGGGGTTGTTTCAGAAAGCTGAAAGAAAACAAGACCATGCAGTGAATGTTTTATTTACTTTAATATGGCTAATTAGTACATAGTAGCTAACTTTAGAATAGAACAGCTGCCTGACTATGTACGAAAATAAAATTGGCTGTAGTTACTTTACTAATTAGACAGTGACTGCTATTTGGGGGTCTTTTGCGGGGGGGAAGACTTTAGTTAGACATCATGCAGCACTCCTTAGTGACTACTGTTCTGAGAAGGTGCTGTTAATAAAAGGGAAAACAAGGTTTGCTGGGAAAGCACACAATCCCCGCAGAGGTTGTAGACAAATAATTTGTTATAATTACAAAGGTAACCTTTATCTTTTACTCAACACCCAGGAAACCTTTAACATTAACTGCCTGAGGACTTAGGTTATTTCATTAACGGTGTGTTTAATTAAAAAAAAAAAATAACAAAAACAACCTTTTCTATTGCATGTTTTAGCCATAATTCCAACTTTTGCCCTTATTAAAAATATTATTTTCACAATTCAAAATATCGACATAAATGAGAGTCATCACTTGAAATTACTGTTACCTTACTGTTACTGTAGTTTGAGAGCACAGCCCAAAAGATATCTGCTAACACTTTCTTAACATAGTGGGCTTCGGATGTGCAACAGCAAAACTCTGAGGAATATTTTACCCATTAAATGTTTCACCGCAGACACCGTAAGGCAGTTCTTGATGTCTAAATTATAACCTGAAGTATCAGAGTCCTCTCCATCCTCCAACGTGACAACTCTTTGGTGCAGAGCAGCACAAGTGAGTGATAGAATCCCGCGCAATTCCACATCCATAGCCGTCCCGCACGTCCCGGGAGCTGTGGCGAGGAGCACGGCATCAGAGCTCCCGGAAGGGAAGGAGACCCGAGCCGTCCTCCCGCCGCAGCCGAGGACTTAGTGAGCTTTGGGAAGGAGCAAAGCCATAGCGAGAGGCATTCCCCACCGCTCCCCAGGGCGCGTCAGCCCTCCCTGCACGGCCAAGAGAGAGGAAATGTGTGATTTTGTGGGATTATAAATTAGAAGCGCCTTGGCCGCCGGCAGCCCTGAGCAGCAGCTCGGAATCCGAACGGACCAAAAACTTTGCGGAACATCCCGGCTAATAACGCTTCGGTGCCTCCCGTGCCTTTGTCTCTGAATTACGAGGGTGTCCTTCCAGAAGTTACGGGAAATGCTGACCAAAAACGAGAAGAAAAGCGGGAGAGGGACGGCGACGCTCCGGGGCTCAGGGTGGGAAGAGCGAGCGGCACCGCGGGGCGTTCGCCCTTCCCCGCTCCCTCCCACCCTGCCCATTTCTCCTGACAGGCCCTGGCTCGGGAGTGAGCGAAGCGCCCCGGCAGCCGCGGCCGCCCGTCGGACGGCCCCTCGGCCCGGCTCCCGGGACACTCACCGGCCGCGGGCGCCGGATCCACCGCCAGCAGGGAGAGCCGCTTCCAGCGGGACCCGCCGCAGGTGAAGATGACGGCGCGGATGAACTCCCGGCCGCACAGTTTCACCCCGTACGCGTCCCCCTCGCCCGCGGGCAGCGCGGCCCCGGGGCGCCCCGGCGGTGCCGCGCACAGCAGTGCCACCGCGGTGCACAGCAGTCGCAGCCTGGCCGCCCCCATCGCGCCGTCCCCGTCCCGCGGCTGCCTTCCCAGCAGACCCGACGGCCGCACCCACTCCCGCGACCGCGGCGTCCAGCCCAGACCCTCAGCCCGCTGCCCGCCTTTTATGCGCTGCGGGCGGCGCTGTGTCACCGCCCCGGCCCTGAGCCCCCTCCCCGCCCCTGGTCCTGTCGCTGCCGTCTCTCGTCTGGCGGTCCCCGTGCCTGAAGCCAGCGTCCAGGAGCCCCCGGGAAGCGCTCCCCCGTGTTCATGCCCCTTGCTAGCTGTCGCGGCTTTTCACGCACCCAGTGAAAATGCACCTCACCTTCGACCTCCCGGTTGGGCCCCCCAACGACTCGGAGGCACACTCCATCCCCTCCGCCGGGTCTGCACCTCTGTTTTTCCTGTTTGTGGTCAGGTGGCATTTGCCAACGCCATCTCGAATTGCTCTGAAAATGTGAAAAACTTCAGCTCGGCTGGTTTTTTTCCCTTGCAGGTCTAGTAACTACTTCTGCATCCTGAAAATGCCCGACGCAAAAAGAAGCAAGTAATATAAAATAAATGCTCTTCCACAGAACTACTTCAGCAGTAGTTGAAATCCCACTTGAGGTGGGATTTCGCAGCCTGGATTCCTGTCAGGTTTGTTGCTCTGGAGGCCTGAGTTCAGTGGCAGCCATAGACACCCAAGTGTCAGAGACTCCTTGGCTCCAACATGTGCATCCTGGGGATCTGGAGTTCCACAGTTGTGTGTCTCACCAGTAGGCCCCAGCAGGCTCTCATTGGTAAAGGTGGTGTTCTTCAGACCACCAGGCACCCTGTGAAAGTAAACTTTGCCTCTGGATTTGTTTTTTTCCCCAGCACAATAGGACAAGAAGTAGCTGCTTTTACAAAAAGTCATACTGTGGAGAAACAGAAAAGTTCATCTCTCTTAAAATATTTTGAAGCTGTTTTCTGTAGATCCTTTTGCATAAGGGCTATGCTTTCTATCCCAGGAGTATTGTTAGCATATAGAAAAAAAAAAACCTCAAACTTAATCTGGAAGGAGGGCACAGAGAAGACCTGAGTCTACAGACTCCTGCTGTGTCTACAAAGGTGATTGATTCACTTGTGCTGGCAGTGGAGACATAGTCTCCAATCACCTCTTCAAGGAGTACTTGGTGTTTTACACTGAGTTGGATCTAGAATGAGGCTGTACAGGTCTAAAACTGGGAACAACTTGTGAACTTGTTATGGTGGTTAAACCCCACAACTGCCACCAAGCCCCACTCAGCCACTCACTCACTCCCTCACCAGCAGGATCAGGAAGAGAATTGGAAGGGTAAAATCCAGAAAACTCATGAGTTGAGATAAAGACAGTTTAATAGGGAAAGAAAGAGTCATACACACAAGCAAAGCAAAACAAGGAGTTAACGCACTGCTTCCAGTGGGCAGGCAGGTGTTGAGCCATCCCCAGGAGAGCAGGGCCCCATCGCACCCAACTCAGGAAGACAAACACTATCATTCCAAACATCTCCATCCTTCCTCCTTCTTCTTCCCCACTTTATATACTGAGAATGATGTCATATGGTCTGGAATATCCCTTTGGTCAGCTTGGGATCACCTGTCCTGGCTTTGCCTCCTTCCAACCTCCCATGAACTCTCAACTTCCTCACCAGCGTGGCAGTATGGAAAGCAGAAAAGGCCTTGGCTCTGTCCAAGCATTGCTCAGCAATAACAAAAACATCTCCATATTATCAACCCTGTGTTCAGCACAAATCTCAAACACAGTCCCATACCAGCCATTGTGATGAAAATTAACTCTACCCCAGTCAAAACTAGCACAGTTGTCTACACCTGACCTTCCTTTTTAGTCCAGTCTTAAGTGTTTAGGCAGTGGTACCTCTTCAACAGTAGGCACCATCATCCAGGTGTTAGTAGGATGCAGTCTGCAGAAGTGGAGACTGATAATCTGAAATTCCTGAAGAACAAAACCTGGACCTGTTTTTCCCTCAGTTGAAGTCTTGCCTACTGTTTTGTTACACACAAGTTGTGCAGGGATAACCACACCTTGCATTTTGAGAGAGCAGCACCCTTGAGTCTGTCTGTCTTGTGGACTTTTTCTGAAAATACACATCACATTAGGTGAACTTACTTACGGATTGTAAGTAGTTTTCTAGATAAGGGAATTGTTTTCAGTGACTGGAAACCTGCAGTCATGTGCAAAAGTACTACCAGGACAGGCAATAAGGAAAGTGCCTCCTGAGCTGGCAGTGACTGACCTGATGACTCACTTAGCTTGCAAACTAATGTAATTTATTAACTAAACTAATATAATTTATTTTATAATTTGATACCCATGCCCAATATTTTTTGCAGTCTCTAAAAGCAGTAAAATGCCAGATGTTTCTATATCGGAGTTTTTACCAGGGAATTTCAAGAGAAGTTCCCAGATAGCAGGCTGATTTGTCAGTCTGACTGGAAAATTCCTGAGTTTCCACATGCTTCAGTTTCAAATTAAACTGAACCATCAGTTACTGTGGCACCCCATCTAGCTCCCCCTAATCAAAAGCAGACATTGTGATGGCTGCCTTTAGGGTTTTTTTTTCAAGACACTTTTGCAACTGTCTGAAGCACATAACCTCTAATGGCAGCTGCTAAATGCAAGCACTTAAGAGACTGGATAACAAATAGTTTGGAACAGCTATTCTCACCTCTCTGCTTCTTCACCAGGGCTACTGAACGTGAAAGACAATAGTTTCTGTGCTTTCCGTTGAGCTTGTTGGTATTTGATAGACCATGAGTTGTCAGAGACCTTGGAGGAAATACCTTTTCAAGATATTCCTAATGCCTCAGGGAAACCTCACTGCAGCGTTCTTCATCACTCTTTTTGAAGACCATAGGCTGTGAATGCTCTCGTCCTAGGATTAAGGACTGCAACACCAGGCAGCAAGTTAATGAGTTTTATTAAGGATCATATCTGAACGAGCTGGCAGTAGCTTGACATTGCTTAAGGTTACTATGCTTAATGCAGTTTCATTAGTAGGGTGCTCATGTATTGCTCAGTATTTTTCCTCCAGTCATATTTTAGCAACACTGCCTTTGCATCTAGGGCTTTCAACTCCATCTACTAAGTAGGTTATAAAGAAACTTGCTATGTTAGTCATGTAACTTCAAATCATAGAGGATTCTGTACAGAAAAGCCTAACTGGAAATTTCTCAGTACTTTGCCATGAAATTAAATGAAGTCATAGGCTAGGTTTGTATATCTGTTCATCATAGCTAAATAACTACTTCTATTTAAAACAAAACACACAGAAGAAAATTAATAATCTAAATACAAAAAATCTGAAGTAAATACAGATCTTCTTACTGCCTATTTTATAATGAAGAAAAGACAACAGCAAAGAAATGAATATCCGTTCATGATCTGTAGGATGCTACAAGACAAGTACATCCAGTGTACTGCCTGAATGCAAGTACTTTGTATCTTTTAGTTTCCTAAACCAATGTGAAAATATTTCTCTCCCTTGCACTACATTATTAATCTGTTGGGCAATAGCAAAGTTTATAGAGGGTGGAAGATGTTTCACAAACACTGGTGGCTAAATAAAATGGCTTTAACAATACCTCAATAGCCTTGAATACCTTGAATTACTCTCATGTTAAATGAAAGACAATCTACACAGAAAATCAGTGGTAGGACAGAAATGTACAGACTCCATTAGACTTTTTCCAGAGACTTTGTTTCAAATTCATGCAGTTCACTTCTGCAAGAACTACTTAGTTTTTGAAAGTTGCTCAAACATGAATTTAAAATATTTCTTAAATTTTTTCCTATTTGCTTAGGACCATACAGGATTGTGTAGGAAAGGGAAAATATCACTGTATCCATGTGATTGGTGATCAAGTACCAGCATTATCCAGCTATCTTTGTCAGAGGATTGTGGGGTTTAGAAAGTAATTCAACCTTAAGAAAATTTATAAATAAAAAATTAAGAAATCCATGCATTTTTGCATAATGAAGGCTGATTAGTTTTGCAAATAAATAATAATGAAGAGACAATTGTATATGTCCATTATATAATTGTATAAGTGCTTTCCTTTTCTACTTTTAAAAGCAGTGACATACACAGCCATAACATAACTTCAAAACATTTAGGAAGGGGCTGGAATTTTCAGGTTTCCCTATTGTAAAGGGGCCCAAACCAAACTCCTCAAAGTGACTTTGTTTGTTCTCTTCACTACTCATGTTTCCCACCAAAACCAGATTAACAAGAGAAGTGTGGGGCAGGCACCTGTGGCTTGCAGATGGCACACACTTTATTGAGTTCTGTAAATAAAATATATCCATAATTAGAACACAAGAAGTTTTGACATCCTAATCATGACTGACTTCTCAATTTCCTGGAATAATCCTGCTCTAGGTGATACTGATTCAGGATACACGGTTATCAGACATTATAATCAGGAAAACCAACAGGATTAAGATGCTAAGACTAGTGCCTTCAGGACAGAACAAGGTTCCCCTGGAATTACTCTCCTTTTTTTCCTCCAGTGATTCATGGAAACAGAGACAGTTGCTTTGATATATTAAAGTAAGTCTAACATCTGAGGCCAGTTAAGCACAAATGACAGAAAGGAGCAGGATGTTTTAGGTGTTTTACTTATTTCCCTAACAGGCATGGTGATTATGGGCAACTTGTGTTGTAAGCATCTATTTCCCTGAAGTAAACCTAGTCACAGGTAAGCTTTCCTGCTTTTTTTCATTGTTCTCTGAAGGAAACCATACCATAAAACCACTCTGTATCTGTCACTGGGAGACAGATATGACTGGACATGGCACATGCAAGCATTTTGATTAATACACTGGCAGTAGAATAAACACCCTGTAACGAAGAATGAGCATCTTCAAAACAAAAGCACGCATTTATCAAGAAAAAAAGCAAGGCTAACAATAAAAAATAAAGGCAATAAAGGTGACTGACCCTTAATTTCTGGATGATCTTTGGCACATTCTATGTAGCCCATTTAAATCCATTTTT